CTTATCTGGCTCTAATTGCACAAAGGTATTTTCGTAGTCTCTATCTTTAAGCTTTTGGATTAGAAGCTTTCTGTTAGATTTCAATTAAGAATTCTATTTAAGTTTTTTTATATATTGTATTATATATATTTATAAGATATATTTGTATATGTTTATAGTATATATAAAATATGTTTTAATATATGGTTTTTATTTAATAATTTGTTTTTGACAAGAGTTATAAATTTTAATAAATAATAATTTGTTTTGCTATTAAAGCAAGTAATATAAGCAGTATTGTTAATATATATAGTTAATAATATTATAAGAATAAATATTAATATTAAATTGCTATGAGTTTCTAATATTTGGGTTAAAGTCATTTAAGAGTTTTGATATTTAGTTAATAGATTTTTTGGAATTTTGTTTCTTATATATACATATTTGTTTTTATACTTTCAAGTATATACTACAAAGTTCTTGAAGATAAAATTCAAGTATTTAAATATTTTTTTAGATAATTTAAATAATACATTTTAATAACAATATTAATTTCTAAACTAACTACAGTCAAACCTCTCTATAATCACACACTCGGGATACAAAAATGTGTGATTGTAAAGAAGTGTAACAGTTATAGAGGTCAAATTTAATATATTTAATAATAGTTTGTTTTTAAAAAAATATATATGCTTATAAAGAAAATATACTTATATAGGAGGTGACTATAGAGAGGTCTGACTGTATTTTATTTCTATACTATTGTATAAGCTATTATTTTCTAATTATAAAAATAAACTATATATAAGTTAAAAATTAGTTGTCATTATGTATTAACACATGGTTTTATTAAATAATACAAACAATCAGTATTTGTTTCTTGTTTCAAATCTATTTGTTGTCAGAAGTTTTATACTTTTAATATATAAATATTTTTTCTTTATATTAGACTTTGGCGTATTGATTTTCATTTTCATATCTTCATGTTTCTTATTGTATATTAGAATTTGATTGTTATCTTAAAAATCGTATTATAATAATCAACATGTGATTATCCAGTAATTAATGATTATTTGTTTCATTCAAATGGTTTTTTGGTTAAATATAACCTTTTTTGTAAATTGATTTTCTGGTAATTTTTTTGTATTTCCCTGTAGACGTAGTTCACTATTAAAGCTTTATATGCGAATGTAACATAGAGCTATTAGGTAGGCTAAAACTACCTCAGTATCACTATCAAAATTTTACTATCACATGATGATTAACCAATAGCAAGTCTCGTTTTAATGTAACGTAACACAATCAGGAAGATCAAAACAAAACGTTCACTTTTTCAAAAATCACCTATATCTCTAAAATTTACATAAGAAACTAACTACTTTTCATGCTCTAACAAAAAAATTTCCTTGAACAATTTTACTATAAAAACTCATAATCCTAATCTTGTTGTAGGCCCTAACCCTAATTTATACGAGTTTAAAGATTTTTTAGTGCGCAGTAAACACTATCACGTGACAGTGAAATTTTGACGGCGATCCTGGGGAAGATGGTAGGCTAACGCCGAATCACGTGGTTTATTTAGCCAATCAGATTTCTTTGATTACGACAAGTATAAATTATTTATAATCACACCTCTATATAATCACGATATTTGCTGTGCCCAAAAACGTGATTATAAAGAGGGAAGACTGTATATTAAAACACTAATTTTATTTGGCAAAGCTTAAAATAAAATGAATTTACTTTTATGATTTATTTTGATCAGATTAATTCTATTTAGTTTTAATACATCAAACTTTTTCTAAGTACGAGAATCAGCAGCTCATATAAAATTTGCATTATATTGGTTGTGTTCTAATCTCGAAATAACTACTACTGAAAAATTATCATATTGATCGCCCACAATACGAAATAACCTGTATGTAGACCCAGGTATAGTATAAGGAGGTCTATGCTAAAGACCGGGTCTCTTACATACTATATACCAGATTCTTAACATTGGTATAGACCCAGGTCTAAAATGGTGGACCTACTATAAGGGTGATTTATATGACTATTTTACGGTAGCTTCAAAACAGATATTTATTGTAGTTTCTCTCTGACCTTCAAGAAAACAAATGTTAGTGTAATATAATAACATATCGACGAAAAGATAACAAAAATATGTTTAAAAATAGATTTATTGCCTTTAAAGTTAAGGTTCCTTGCCGCAATTGAAATTACCTTAGCTTTAATTATAATATTCAAAACACATTAAAAAGTGTAACAGTAAAAAAAAGTTTAGTGTACCCGGGTCTTGTACAAGATATCAAGTAATAGACCTTGTAACATACCCGGTATAATCAAGGGAATAAAGTCAATATTCTATATGGTGGAATATTCTGCTTCTTCTTCGTGAATTAAAACGTAGTCACGAGTGCTGAAACCAAATTTGATCACATCTGATGGACGTAATTCCACATATCTTGAGGTCGGAATTTCTGCTTTATTTACAAATGTATGGTTAGTTGATTCGAGATCAATTATGTATGGTTTGACCTCAGCTTTCTTCTCTCCAGTATTTTCGTCAGTAACAACTACTTGTCGAAATTGCAAAACTGCATGTTGACTGGAGCAGGATGGGTGATCAATTGGAATATCTGCAACCTTATTAAGGGTATAGATATGTGAAACGTAGTCGGGTATCATTTGAAAACAATCTGAAAAGGGAGGACCACTTACTTTCCTATCACGACCTAGCAGATAAGCACTTTGGCGATAAACATGAAGGACATCTGTTAAAAATATGATAGGGATGTCGATTTAGCGACCTCTAACCCTATAATTTATGCAATAGGAGTATAAACAATAATAAGTTATAACTTACCTAGCTGTTCAGTGTCTTTAAACACATACAATCTCCATTTCTTTGTTGGTTTTCTTGCTTCAGAAGGCTCATGATATTTCAATACAACACCATTAACCGTGTTGGTCTCCGCGGCAAGTTTGCCAGATAGCTCGAAATTAGGCTTTACTACAGCCTGTGATGATTTGTCATCCTTGGAGGACTCCTCAGAGGCGCGAGAACGTGACCTTGAACGCTTTTGAGGAGGGGAGCGAACGGGTGAACGAACAGGTGAACGAACAGGTGAACGCACAGGTGAACGCACAGGCGAACGCACAACGCGAGTTCGCGATCGAGAACGTCTGCGAGGTAGAGATTGTGGAGATCTTGAACGTCTACGAGGCAAAGGTCGTGGTGATTTGGAACGCCTACGAGGCAAAGATCGTGGGGATTTAGAACGTCTACGAGGTGGAGATCGTGAGCGTCTATGAGGTGGAGATCGTGAGCGTTTACGAGGTGGAGATCGTGAAGATCTAGATCGTCTACGAGGTGAAGCTCGTGGAGACCTAGAACGTCTACGAGGTGAAGCTCGTGGAGACCTAGAACGTCTACGAAGTGGAGATCGTGAAGACTTAGAGTGTCTCCGAGGCAGAGATCGTGGGGACCTAGAACGTCCACGAGTATACATGCCAACGAATAAAAATTATACAGTATAAAAAGAAATAAATTTGTGTGAAGACGAAATTGAATTACGGAATCCGTAAATAAACCTCAAATTCAAAATAGTGCCCTGAAATTAGTTACAGACATATAACTGGTCAATTCCGTCTACGCTAAATTTGATAACGTCGATATCCCGTATGGGCGGAGTTTTTGATTTGAGTGATGATTAAAAAATTAATAATAGTTCATAAAATTTGATCCAATCGTTTATGTGATGTTGCATAACTGGGATTAAACCATAAAAATATACCGTACAGCACTGACTTAAGTACCCGGGTATTTTACAAATAGACTATTTTATGGGTATTTTACTCGAAGGGTACAGCTTGGGGTCAGGGCTAAAACGACACATAGTAAATACCGGCCATTCAATAAGTGTCGTTTTTGATTCATATTATATTAAAATTTTATTACTCGTAAATTTGATGTATCAAAATCGATACTTCAAACAATGGGCAGCGGCGCAGTAAATGGCTGCCGTATACTATGTGTCGTTTTAGCCCTGCTTGGGGTATCTTGGTTTAATAAAATATGTATTCATGTATGTACTGGGTACGTAGTATAAACGGCTATATCCAGATATTTTAGAGAGAACCTTTCAATAGCTGGGGAGGGGGTATTATACATGGGGGGATACTTTAGTCACGATAATAAAATTAATTGAATGATTGTACGTATTTGTTATAAAATGCTTATGAAACCGTTATGAACCCGTTTTATAAAAAACATAAAATTAAATCATATGGGCGGCCGTCAATAAAAATAAGGCTGACATTTTTAAAAAAATTAATACTTTAATTTTCACAGCTCATATCTCAATGTGTTTTGAAGCTATCCTGATAATTTAATATTAAAAAAAAAACTTAGATAGTAAGCTTTCTTTTGACTATTAAATCATTAAGATAGCCTCCAAATTCATCGAGATATGAGCTGTGAAAATTAAAGTATTAATTTTTTTAAAAATGTCAATCTGCCTTATTTCTATTGACGGCAGCCCATATAACTATTTGATTGGTTCATTGCATCCTTGCTTAGCTGTTAGGCCACACCGTTTGTTTAAACCTTTTTTCGTTTAGGTGAATTCATGTTTGAATAAAGTTCCCATTGGCTACCCTTTCACTGTACCGACTTAAATCCATAAAAATCGTGATATGATTTGTGTAATTGAAATATGTTCATCTTTTCGAGTGGGCATTGATAACTTGACTCGTCTTATTAAGACCGGTTTTAATCTGTTTTAACATATGAAAAACAAAACCGGTTCTAAACTTCAATTCGAAATCATATGATCTTCTGTGTTTAATTCGCGAGTTACGAAACGAGTCTAGTCACTACTGATCGTGTTTCACTATTGGCCAATAGTCACTGGCAGTTGCATGAGACATGTGATCGTGTAACGATAAATTTCTGATAAATCAAAAAAAGAAGAAAAAATCCTACACAAAAATGTCAATAAACAAGTGGAGGATAGATTTCACAAATCTCTCGGATCAGGCAAGGTAGTGAGTTTAGACATTAGTTCTCTTGGAATGTTATTAATATTTCCTTGATCTGATAAGTTTTTTTTGATATTAAGAAAAGTTGAATTACGAGGTCATCATGTGATAGTTGATCCTCCAAACCCACCAGGTTTTGAAAATTCTGTTCAAATCACCGCTTCAGGCTCAAGAAGTAGTTTGGTTTGTATGCAAAGATAAATTGTACACAAATAATCATCACCTTTTTATTAATAGATAATTTTATTTTATTTTTCAGAAAAATAAAAAGGATAACACTCAAATTAGTCAAACAGACAAAGATCAAGAAGAACTTAAGAGAAAAGTATGTGAGACCCATATTTATTCGTTAAAATTCGATCATTTTTTAATATATATCGTTTATTGTACATGGTTATTATTAGAAAGCATGGGAGGCTGCTATCTCTCCTGGAAAAAATATACCTATGAGCGTTTTCATGTTATGGATGAGTGGAAATAGTGTACAAATATTCAGTGTTATGATCACTGGAATGTTGTTTTTTCAACCAATAAAGGCCTTAATGAGTATAGAAGGTGGTAAGTAAATTCTCAAAAGTAATGATATTTTTGCTATCTAAACTTTCTCACAACAATTATTTCTTTTAAAGTATTTGAAAGATACGAATCGATAAAAACTAAATCTGATTTAATATTGCCAAAAATTGTTTATGTTCTTTTACACCTTCTTACAATGGGACTCGGGTTATATAAATGCTTTTCTATGGGACTTTTGCCTACGGCAACTTCAGATTGGTTGGCATTCATGGAACCTAAACAGGTATAATTTAGTTCATAAATATCGATTTAAGGTCTGAAAAGTTACTGAGTCTTTCTATATTATTATATGTAGATCCTCGAATATTCTGCAGTGTTATGATATAATTATAGAAGCATTAACAAATTTTTTGTTTTGTAAATTATGTTCATTGTATATGTTAATATATACTATATACAAAAGAACCTTTTGAGGAGTATATGCTAATAAATTTATAATAGCTTTATTATATTTCTCTCAACTCCATATTGTATTTAAAAACTAATAATAAAAACTCTTCAACGAAAAGATTTGTACGTTAATATTTTTATTATTGTAAATAATAAAATATATCAAGATATATTTACCATTAAATTGTCTTTATATCAAACTTAAAATTTATTTATTTTGAAGACCAATTTCAGGTCCAACTTGTTCTAAAATCTCTTCCGCATCTTTCAATTCAGTTGTACCAGTCCATGATGGGTTTTTTTGATTCTATATATTAAAATTTTGAAATCCATGAATTTTTGACATTTAGGTATCACGTGTTTAAAATATAATAGTTCGAAATCACTTAATTCAGTAATTAGTTAGACGACACCGTAAGGCTACAGTGTAGTTTTACCATGAGATAAACGTCTATTTTATTTATAGCGTGAATGATAACTTACGACTAAATTTCTTAATTCTTCATAAGCCCCTTTAAGACGGCTTTGAACATCCGGGATTATTCTTTGCGATTCCTCTAATACCTCTTTCTATTATAAAGAATAAAAAAGAACAAAGAATTTTCTGTATTAAAAGTAATAACTCCATAAGATCATGGTGATATGACGCTTTTACCTGTTTATTAATAACTGATGGGTCTGCTCCTTCTGCCGTCAGTTTTTCAATCCGTTTCTCTTGGTCTTTGACTTCATTATGATAAGACTTTTCTTCTTTAAAGTATCTTTTGACAGGTATATAAAGTAAAAGTTAATACTTAAAAAAGTTTTACCTGCTAAAGTAACCTATAGTTAACAAACCGTCTGACTACTCCGGTCTTTATCTTAAGATTTTGAAGTGACATTTTTATCTTCAAACGAATAAAATAATGATTAACGTTAGGCGGTTATATTTATGATAATCGGCTGATTCGTTTAAAATCTCCGGATGGTTAAAAAAAATTGTTCTGAATTTACATTAAAAGTATCAGTATGTAAATATTAAAATTAGCGTCAGCGTCAATATCTTATCTATTACCGTTATAAATTTTTCACGTGAGATGCATTATGCCGAAAATTCAGTTATACATACCATACGTATACGTATCGGTATATTTGTGTGGAAATGGGATTTAAATGAATTTGGAATTTCTTAGTTAAAATAGAAGTTTATATATACTGGAATCCACTTAAATTCTGTTTCCACTTACAACTATCAAAATTTTAACGGATCTAAAGCATTACAAAGAGAATAGCGATAGAAATTATTCTTTTTATTAAATATATATTAAAAAATTAAAAAAAATTCTAAGGGTTCCAAATTTTTATCGGTGACAACGTATTATTACAGCTTCTAGCACTAATTGAAAACTTTGATGCTAATTAAAAAGTATATTTTATCTCCCATACATCGCTGATCATTATGCACTATATCTTTAATGATATAAAGTATATTTGGCGTCATACAAGTTCCTTGTAGTAATCAGAAGCTTATACATAAATTCTGAAATTGTTATCATTATTATAATAAATCGATCAGTTGACGGTGGCCGGCAATTACTATCCATGTCAATAAACTTCTAAACTCGCCTTCTTCATTAGCTGTATCAAAATTTTTTCTGTCTCTTCGACTTCACTTACTATATTATCTATTACCTTCGTATTTTTTTCAATCGATCGTAAATGAGAAGAAATTGACTTTTTGACTTCACAAAGTTCATGATCTTGTTCGGGCTGTATATATTAAAAAGATCATAATATTCAAATTGATAAAAATTTTATAACGAGATAATATAAAATTACTCACGTCCCAAAGGCACAATGATCGATCTTTTAGTGGTTTAAGATGATTTTTAATTAATTCATCATCCACATCGACAAGGTCTTTAAATTCATTCTTTAAAAGCGGATGAAGCTAATTTAATCAGTAACGAAGACAATTAGTCTAACATGCCTAACATCAATAAATTTATAATGCCTGTCGCGGCTGAAGCTGGAATTTAGGGTCCTCAATTTAAAAATATAAACCCTACCAAAATCCACTTATACACTTTTATTATCAACCAAATTCTAACCTAACTATTAAAAAAAACTAAGAAAATGCACCCCAAAAATTTTAATTAAAATTTTCAACTTCAGCCGCGACAACGCTCATGCCCACTATTTCGAAAACTATATTATTTGCTCATATTTGAATCTTACTTTTGTCCTATGAAGCATTTTATTTCTAGTTTCAACTGCTTTTTTATCGCTTTTAAGTTTGGCTAATATTTCCGAGTCTTCTTCCAAAAGCCTTGTAAAACAGATAATAAATAAACGTAGATAGGATGGAGATATGAAATATTGGGTCTATTAAAATTGGAAACTTACATTGTCTCATGTTCGAGTTTAACTTCCATTTGACTTATCTGCTCTAATTCGTTAGCCAATGCCATCTCTAATGCTTGCTGTTCGATTAAATGACTTTTAATAAAGTTGTACATATATATATACTCTTTATTGAAACAAACCTACATTTTGAGAATGAATCTTGTTATAGTCGAAGCTTGCTTTCTTCGAGTATTTTGGTACTAGGAGCGTCTCCAATTTTTTGTCAATTCTTGACGTGATTAGAAAAAATAGTAAGCCAAATGACAAAAGGTTTTTGAAGATCTATTGAAATGGACCTATGCTTTACTTTGAAATTAATCTATCTAATACTTTTTGTAATTCTGTTTTTTTCTTTCCACGAACACCATTAATTACGACTCTAATTTTATAAAAGGACAGTTTAGTATAAAATTGATTTTTACATATTTTTAAGATCCTGCTAAAAGAAGCTTACGGAATCGAACTGTTTAAAATTTCACGAAAATTCTGTCTAGATTTTTCGTTTAAAGGCTTCCAATGTTTTGATCTCACCTAAAAAAAAAAACGCGTAAAATTTACGTGAAATTAAAATTATTCAAACAGACAAGGCTAAAATTTCCCGGAACTTGCCATTTTTTCTTTGTACTGAGGGAGAATTTTTTTGTTTTGCTTTTTTTTATTGAAGTTATTTTTGATGTTCTGACACGTGACTATAGTTTCTAAAATCGCGAAAATTAACAGGTAAAATTAACATTAACTGTTAACAAATTTTAAAGCGTCGTTTAAGAATGTTCTTCAAAGGAGTTACTGTTACCAATTCTGCAATTAAAAAGAAAAACTAACTCGAAACTAAAAATCTAACAGATTATTATTTTTTTTTTATCTATTATAAAAAACGAGAAATACCGGTAAATTTAATTACTTGGTTTTCATAACAAACTTTTTTTTTTTTTTTAAAAAAATTTATATAAACAATTTTTTTGGTTCTTAACGTTAACTGTTAATAAACGACTATGGTTTCATTAGTAAAACTAGGAAAACAGGTGTTGTTAGTGTCCGAAGCTATCAATATAATAATTTTTTACGGGATCTTTCGTCTCGATGATTAGTGATCTCATAGACAGAAATTCGTCTGATTGGCTAATATTACATTATTTATACAGTTTAAAGTACTTTTTAGAAAAATAAAACTACACAGAATAAACAAAAAAAGAAACATATAAAAAGGTTAATTAGGGTTGTAGGACTCCACCATTAAAAATAAACTCAATCAATTTTGGCTTTAGAGAAGTTAACATAATAACGACTTCTTAAAGATAGGTTATTACCATCAATGTATAACGATAAAATTCAAGCTTTGATTTATGTGCGCTAAATGAATAAAAATGAATATTGAACAAAACTCTATGTGCGCTATATATATAAAATCTTTAATATTTGTGTGCGGAAAGAAAAATTTATGTGCGCAATTATTTTAAGCGCACGTTCAATTTACCATGCTAACTTCTCTAAAACCAAAATTGATTATATGTTTATTCTGGTTTTACCATAAAATCCCGAAAGCCATTTTCCCGAAAGGACATAATACTGACTAAATTGGCCAGCATTATAATTAATGCCGGCTAATTTTGTCGGGATTAAGTCCTTTCGGGAATATGTCTTTCAGGATTTTGTGGTAAAACCGTTTATTCTGTGTAGTTTTATTTTTCTAAAAAGTACTTTAAACTGTATAAATAATGTAATATTAAATTGAATTTATTAGCCAATCAGACGAACTTCTGTCTATGAGGACAAAACTGATCAATTCCGACCCATCCGACCATTCTTGACGCCACAAAAAAAGCTCACGTGCTCGTGACATTTTGTGGCTCATATATGGAGATAGCGAAAGATCATCATTCATTACGATATTAACATGACAGGTCCACGCGATCTTAACGCACAAATAGAGAGCCTTGTAAATCGTCTTCGCCGACGGTACTTACCTTTTTCGAGTAAATTTATGTATTTCGTATAAGCCTTTCTCTTACTTTCTTATGCTATCAACTCAAATAGACAAGTCGTAGGTTCCTGGCGTGTCTCTGTTGAAACAGCTGTACTACTTCGGCAGGTAGTTTCCGCTACTCGGTGGAATCAGGTTGAAACATTGATAAAAGTAGTTAAAGAAGATGTGGGAAGGAGGTTAGTTATGGCTCAACCACGAGGTGCGTGAAGAATTGAATTATATGTTCTAGAAATGATATCTTTTTTTAATTAATTTTTTTTTTTTTATAATTTTAGAACTCGCCGTAGGAAATATTGTTCGTCGCGTATTACGCTTAATACGTGATGTATATAACTCTGAGGTTGCCACCTTTGACGATCTTTCTGCTGAAGATGATGATGATAAAGATTCAAATACTGATGATGATGAGAAAGAAGAAGAAATTAAATCAAAATCATCTCAGAAAATAAGAACTATTAGTTTTTATGGTGGATCAGGTACAGGAACAAACAATCGTTCTTCCATGATAAACTTACTTGGAGATGGTGGTACCAAAAGGACATCTATAGATGATGATCGAAAACCTCCCAATATCCTTTTGATCCGTCAAATTATATAATCATTTGAATTTTAAATAAAATTATCTTTGACTTTTGAACACATCTAAAGCCATTAATCATATCTGAGTTACAAGAGATGATTAATGAATTGGATAATACGTACGTAAATATAATAGATCAGGCCATGGAACATATTCATTCAAAGTATGATTCATATATGTTTTGAACTATAATATTCGTTTAAGCATAATTCTATATATTATACTCATCTTCTTTAAAATGGTTTGTGCACAATTTAGTGAGATTATTATGACTGTTGGTAGATCAAGAACTGTGGAAAAGTTTTTGAAAACTGCTGCGAATAAAAGAAAATTTTCTGTTTTAGTTGCAGAAACATTCCCAACGTATGCTTATTAAAATTTATTTAAATTCATAGTATCACGTTTACTTACATGAAACTATACGATCAGATATCTAGGTCATGAGATGGCATTATCTTTGTCAGAAGCAGGGATTGACACAACTGTAATCTCTGATTCGGCAATCTTTGCTGTCATGTCCAGAGTGAATAAAGTGATAATGGGTACACATGCAGGTAATTCACTTTACTTATTTTTATTATTTTTTATTATCTTAGAATTATTCTGATTATAATTATTCAATTTCAGTACTCGCGAATGGTGGGTTAATTTCTGTTAGTGGTGCACAAATGGTGGCCACGGCTGCTAAACACCATTCAAAACCAGTAGTAGTTTGTACTGGTCTTTATAAATTATCGCCACTTTATCCTTATGATGAAGATTCATTTAATGATCTTGTCGCTCCTGATCCAGTGTTGAGTTTTAATGAAGGTGAGTTATTTACGAGCTTCAATCGTATATTTGTCATTTAGATTCCGTGATTATTTTTTAGGTATTAATATATAAGTGAATTGTTATAATATGTAAATATTTCTCATCAATAATTGTTTTATACATAAAAAAGGCGATTTAATAGATAAAGTGACGTTATTGAATCCTTATTACGATTATGTTTCACCAGAGCTCGTGAGCCTTTTCATTACAAACACGTAAGTTGCTCGTATTTATCACTGCGCGTGTTTCAAAACTGTCAAATTTGATGATTTAAATTCAATTCTTGGCTTTTCCACCTATATTAGCGGAGGTCATCCTCCTTCATACCTATATAGATTGATAAATGAAAATTATGACCCCGATGATACAGTCATATAATTAGGGTTGGTAAAGTCCTTAGGTCCGGGACTTTAGGACTTGGTCTTTAAACCTGATCTTTAAAGACCAAGTCCAAATTTAAGGACCTAGGGTCCTTAGGTCTTTAAAAGTCCTAATAATAGTTTAAAATGAAATTATAATTTATTAAAACTAATAAAACTCATTTCAACTGCAAATTTCTGCTATTGCATAATTCTGGACAGTCTAATCAATATACATACAGTAAAATTTCAATAAAGTTTTAAATGCATAGTTTAAGATCATAATCATTTATTTAATGTACAGTATATAGTTCAACATAATATTGTTATTACACATTCTAATAGGTAAATGTCAATATCTGAAGGCATTTACTAATTTTCGCCTCACTTTTCTGTATTTTTGATTGGTCGCAGGTAAATATCACCCCTGATTGGACAAGACAATAACGTCATACTTTTCCGACTTTCCGAATTCCGTTGGCTCGATTCGCCTTTAAAGTCTCCGATCCTGCCTACTAATCTTAAGTATACGATTTACGTTTACGTTGCAGATGATAATCTTGATTATTTAAAGTTTTTTTTTAGTTTTTTTTTGACTTTTTTTTTCCGATTTTTTTTTTCTTTCTTTTTTTTTTTGATCTTTCTTTTTTGATCTTCTTTCTTTTCGATCTTTGATCTTTTTCTTTTTTTTTATTTACTGTCTTTTACTAATGTTTTTTTTTCTCTTTTGTAGGTCGTATGCTTCTCCGGGAAGGGTTAATGGAGATCGGGATTGAGATCTTGAACTTGGATCTGACACCAATATAAGGACCAGTTCACATTTTTCTTTTCTTTGTCATTTTTTGGAGTTGTTACTAATGCTTTTTCTCTTTTTTGTAGGTCTTGTGCTTCTCCGGAAAGGGTTAATTGGGACCGGGATTGAGATCTTGAACCCAAAATTGGTATCAAGATAAGTACTAGTTTATATTTTTTCTTTTCTTTGTCATTTTTTGGAGTTGTTACTTTTTCTCTTTTTTTTTTTGTAGATCTTGTGCTTCTCTAAAAAGGGTTAATTGGGACCAGGATTGAGACCTTGAACCTGAAATTGGTACCAAGATAAGTACTAGTTCACATTTTTCTTTTCTGAGAAGGGTTAATTGGAACTAGAATTGAGACCTTGAACCCAAAATTGGTACCAAGATAAGTACCAGTTTACATTTTTCATTTTTTTGTCATTTTTTTGGAGTTGTTACAAATGCTTTTTCTCTTTTTTTGTAGGTCTTGTGCTTTGCCAGGAAGGGTTAATTAGGACCAGAATTGAGATCTTGAACTCGAAATTGGTACCAAGATAAGTCCTAGTTTGCGTTTTTCTTTTTTTTAGTATTGTTACTAATTTTATTTTGTCTCTAATATGTCAAGTCAAGAGCATATACATGTGTGCCTAAATTATTTTTGAAAAAAAGTATTTTTGGCAAACATTTGGCATTGCTAAATTTTTTATATAAAACCTTTCGAAATAACTATACTATATAATGTATTTTGCTGAAAAGAGTTCAAAAAATTTCAACAAATATAAAAATTATTTCTGCACTAAATAAGATTATAATTGCTTTATTAGAATGAGCAATTTAGGCATACATATATACAAGAGCGTAGTGTAATAGCCTTGATAATGTAATATGCTATGTATTTTAATATTTTAATGAAGTTCAACTTTTAAATTTTATTTCTAATTCATGACGCATTATATTTTTAGGAATGTAATTGATATTTTTGAAATTTGTAATTCTCATTTATGATATAAATTAATACATACTAGTTCTAATAAATTCAATTGATTTACATACTATATGCACAAAATATTTAAATTTTATATATTTCCTAGTATTGAATTAGTGAATACATCTAATGCATAAAATTAATTGTATATGTATTTTGACAAAATTAATTTAATTTTAAATTTATTAATTTTACATTCATTAATTTTACATTTAATTAATAAAATTTAATTTATTACATTATAAAGTTAATATCTTTACATTCCTAATATCCTAATACATAGTAATTTATCTAAGTTCATACAATAAATAAACGTATTTTGAATTCATGATGAAAAAATTGTGTACATGCCAAATTTGTGAAAATCATTCTACATAAATATATACTGAATTCATGAAAAAAAATTAAATATTATAAAATAAAATAAAATAAAATTATTGTTATGCATGCTAATTAAGACCTCTAAGCACAGTTTTAAGTCTATATAATAAAATTAAAACATAATAAATTCATGTGGAAAAAATTCTGTATACCATATACGAATCATTCTATGTAAATGCGTGTCAAATTTGTGAAAAAAATTAAAGATAATGTAAAATATAATAAAATGAATTACTGCCATGCATGCCAATTAGAAGAAGCCTTTTTTGACTTTCAATAGCTGCCCTACCTTTTTTAATATGCTGCGAATACAAAGTAAAATTTTATATTATATCATATAATTTGAAATTTTACTTTGTATTCACAATGTATAAAAAAACTATGCTAATTAAGACCCATAAGCACAGTTCTAAGCTCAGCTGAATTCATGAAAGGAAAACTATATGTATGCCAAATTTGAATCATTCTACATAAATGCGTGCTGAATTTGTGAGAGAATATTAAAAAGAATAAATAAAATTATTGTCATGCATGCCAAAATTCCAAAATGATCCATCACAAACTGATAAATATAGTAATAGTTTATCTTTAAAAAAATTATAAAAGGAAGTAATTGTGGGGTTAAATTGCCTTCAGATTAATATAAATCAAAAAGATTATAATAAATCTTGTTTTTTTTAACCTTAACAAAATTAATTTGTTTTCTAAAAATTTATCATTAGCCTTAATTCATCACATGTTATCATCATTAAATGAGGCGATGCTTGATAACAATGATTTTAGCAGGTTATTACCAGTTGATATTGATGCGATTTTTGATATTGATGAGGATTCTGATATGGATATAAGTGACAATGAGCTTGATGATACTCTTGATAGAATTATAAATGCAACAGATAGTGTTGGGAAAATGTGAAAAATGCAAAATAATGATGAAAACCCACAAGATTTGCATAATATAGAGAATTCTAAAACATTTTACTTACCTGCTAATAGCTATGAAGAGTGGATAAAAAATCTTGAGAAGGCAGGGCTTAGTTATATTAGACATGAACATAAAACAAAAGAAGGTGGCTTTAGAAAAAAATATATGTAGACAGAATGATAGCTCTGCCATCATTATGGGATCTACAATAGTATTGCTGGGAAAGATCTAGCAAAAAGTCATGACTTGCACAAAAAGAATCTAAAAAATGTGAGTGCAAAAGTTATATTAAAGTAGTGCTTCCAGTTAATTCAACAATAGTAACTCTGCAACACTATTATAAACACAATAACTATCAACCTGGCCAGCCAGCTATCAGATTTATACACACTTCCTCTATCAGATAACATTCACCAATTCATTAGGCAACATGCTTTAGAAGAACTCGATACTCATAGTATTCAACAACTTTTGTGGTACTGAGAAATTGAACTTCAAGATCGTGTGTAGCTTTTGGAACGAGGAACTAAATCTCAAAATATTCGGTCGCTATGAGATGGCCTAGTAACAAAAGATGACATTTATACTATTGTGCATAATACTATGAGATCATGTGCCTACCTTGATAATAATGAATTAAAATCTTTAATAAAGTGGCAAGAGAAACTTAATTGTGCAAGTAAAAATTGCTTGTTTAATAATAGTGATAGTGAAAATAAAGGGTTTATGCTTGCTTTTCAAACAGAAAAGCAAAAAGAATTAATAAAATTTGCAAGGGTGGTGTGCATAGATGGTACACATGGGTTAAATCAGTATAGATACTACTTCTTCATGCTTATTATACAGCATTCAACAACAGGAAGCAGATACCCAGTCACATTTTTAATTAGTAAATTCAAACGATCAGTCATATTAAAAGCTTGGCTTGATTTTTTAAAAGAAATTAACAGCGAATGAAGTCCAGATATCTTTATGGTTGAGAATGCAGGTGAGGAAATTAAGGCAGTTGAAGAATATTTTCCTAATGCCAATGTATTATTGTGCTATTTTCATGTATTGCACTCCTGGCATCAAAATCTAAATCATAATCATGGTGCTAATAAAGATCCTCACAAAGCAATTATTTGAGAGGTTCTTTGGCAGCTAATAAAAACAGAAGAATAGGATGATTCAGAAGCATTAAGACAAATTACAGAGGCAGTTAGTAAGTGAAAAAGAATGGGTATTGAGGTTTCAAATAAATTTGCTAACTATTTTAAAAGGTGGTGGAAGCCCAAATATGATAAATGGATGATATGTCTGAGAGGAGTTGCTAGAGACATGATGGATACCAATAATTTAATAGAGGCATTTCATAGAAAATTAAAATATGTATATATAAGAGAAAGACCTAAATGATGCCTCGATAGTGAAGTATACCTTCTTGTAGAAATAGTACTTTGAGACTTGGACTTCTCTGTTTTTTTAGATGATTTGAATATTAGAAGAATAAATCCACAACAATGACAGCAACGAATCTGAGAAATTGAAGGAACAAAAAAATTAATCAGAATAATATCTATAATATCAGTTTTGATACCTGAATCATCCACTCTATAACTAACTCTAATATTGAATATTCTGTTAGAAGAAGTAATGATAAAGATAATTTAAATACTGCTTCATATATTTGTACTTGCTGTAATTTTAGAGTATGTTAATTACCGTGCAAGCATATATTTGCTATATTAAGTCAATTTCAGATCTCTGAAGACAACATAGAAGAAAGTAATCAATATTTTCAACATCGCATTAACATTTCTAGTTCTTCTAGCACTTCTTATCTACCTACAAATTATATTAATATAAAAAAAGGTGAGTTCAAAAAATTACAGAAGGAACTTGCAGCAATCGCTGCAGAGTGGATTAATAAAAATGATCAAGACATTCGCAGTATGCAGCTTACTCTCTAACAG